CCTGGATAGGATGCTAGTCCATGGCAGGGTTACCCCAGCATTAAGTTCGCAGGTATTCATTTATACACCTGGGTGGAGAGAGGCACTGTGAGAGTAAAGTGTCTTGCCCAAGAACACAACGCAATGTCCCCGGCCAGGGCTCGAACCCAGACCGCCCGATCCGGAGATGAGCACACTAACCATGAGGCCACCGCGTTATTTTTAATGCGAAACAATGTCAGAAACATATTTTTCGTGAGTGTCGACCAGTGCGTCTGTGGGTTTTCTTTTAAGAGGCTGGTACACTTCGTGGGAAAAAAAAATTCTTTACCATAAATATTTCTTGCTGGCTCTGTAGTACAATAATATTTGCTGTTATTGTGCAAATGTAATGCTATTTATAACCAATTAATTTATACAAACACGCTATGCCTATAAATTATCAAACTACACTCTATTGTCTTTCACAATTATTTTACTGTGCATAATCAATACTTAGTGGAGCATCATCCATCCAAATACATAATTCAAGATCGATAATTATAGCATAATCACACGGCTGGAAGATTGGCAGCTGGCCTGTGGAGAAGTTGCCTCTTGGTAGTTTGATTCTTTGTTGCCAAAAAAGATTGTCAGTTGCAGCCATCATCTAAACTGTTGGATCTTTATGTTTGTAATAATGACAACAAAAGTTTTATGGCTGAAGCCTCTGATGTTATCCTTTGGTCTGTTTAATTGAAAAGTTATAGTAGTCTGAGTCATTAATTTTGTGTGGATGTTAATATCTATGTTTCTGGGAGTGCTGTGGATTTTTGTTATGTAAGATTAGTTGAAGGAAAGATTTTTACATTGTCCTTTTCGTTCAGGTTTCAAGTGTTTGAACAATCATGACATTGAATTCTCCTGACATTGCTTTTTCTGAATTGAGGTCATTAGTACTTGAATTTTCCACAGGCTGTTTCAAGTACTCCTCCCTTAAGCAACTGAAAATATTCCTCTGCCTCATTTAAGGACTTTTAAATTTCTTTGTCAAGTATCTGTAAGTCATAACTCTTGATCAAATGGAAAATGCTGAAAGCAAATGATTTTGTGATAGCTATGTTTCAGAGGCTGGTGCCTAATTCAAATTGTACTTTCCAGAAAATATTCATTCCCTTTCCACTGTACATGTCTGAGGGTCTTTGGATTTAACCACTCCCATTCCTCCAGATTCCTCTAATAGCACTTTTACATTTTTTTAAACTTTTTTAAACTTTTCACTTGGGCTTTCCAAAGGAAACGGCCGAGCCGAAATTCCAGCTTCTTTTTTTTCATTTAGTTGCAAATCGCAGTCAAGTCCTTATTAACACGCATGCAAGTTAATTACTACCTCGGAACTTAAAATGGAAAGGAAAAACATAAGTAAATGTTTAGGTCGCCCCAGAATGGAAGATCAAGGTGTACAGAATACTCAAACCTTTCTGGTAAAGAATTTTCTTTCCTTTAAAAACAGCGTCCTGGACTTTAGAAAACAAAAATGGTAGTGTACAGTATTACTTCGAAGTTGAATTCCACTTTTAGAACGATTGGTAAACCCACAGCCGATAAAATGCCTGCAAAAGTCGTCGGCATAATAAACTACTGTGAGGAATTAATTTGAACACGCTGTCATGCTGGGGAGCTCGTCTGCGAAATTTTGAACATTTTTTTTGCTATTTTGACAAGTTTTTTTTGCCTCATCATGAATCAAAATGTATTGTTATTGAACTTCTTGTCGCATTTCTTTCATTTGGCTGCCTTTATTTGGGACTTTTAGGTTTTAAAAGCGAACATTATTTTTCTGCATATTTAATTTACAGCGACCTCCGCAGTTTGTTTGTTTACTTTATTCGCTTTGTTCAAATATATTTTTTGGAGTTTTATTCAGCTACTACAGAATTTCTGAGAAAAGAACTAAGTGGGTACTAGTTTAACACAGTTGACATCACAGGTGGCCCTTTCTACACGTATCATCATTTAGAGCAATTTTCTTAGCATTCTCATACATTGTCTTATAAACGGCTAAAATTGTAACGCAATCGCCAACAGCATAATGTCACGTATTAATCGTATTCAATGTCTGGGCCGCCTGTGATTTAAGCTCCCTCAGCGCCCGGTCTCATCCTTCCTAATATGAAAAAGCCAGGAAAAACAAACAACTGAAATCAAACACTGTAAGCTGAAATCAAACACTGCCAGTGAAAACGCAAACGTTGTAGAGTGGCTATTTCGAGGAACACAAACCACAAAGGTTTGGCCGGATTTACAAAACGGAACAGGGCAAGGCTGTGAAATATTTACACAAGGCGTGGCAAAGTTTTGGGATTAACTAAAACCGTGGCCCACATTAGAGCTTACTAACAAAGGTTAGCTGTAATGTTACAGTTTTCATGTAATAGACGGTACAATCTAGCTAATCTGGCATAGTCTGGTAGATTACATTCTTGATATGTGCGTAACTCAGTTCAGTTGGAGGAAGTTTTGAAGACAACGGTCCTAGACTAGATATATTCTTAGGCTTCTGAAAAATCCGCTTCTTTCCACCATGTTACAAATAAAACAGCGGAAGCAGAAAGCTACATGGATACCCCTTCGACTCATCGCCTCTTCAAGAACTTATCCCGCCTATTGTCAGAGAGGACTCGTACTGGGAAGAACTGGCTTTTTCCAGCATACCTCATTTAAATACTCCTTTGAGAAACGCTTTCTTATTGCTGGAAGGGTGAAACGTCAGTCGAAGGGTGTATACAGATATTTGTTAAGGGGCTTTCCAAAGGTGGAAAATTGCAGTACAATCGAAAAAGCATCAATACACCCCCACCCCCCCCCCCCAAAAAAAATTCCTGCTATCACTAATACAAAAAGTTAGCTTAATGCGACCGATTTTGTTGTTAAGGGCGTCTAGAAATTCTACAAGGGTATCTTCAGGCCCACACTAGATAGCAAAATTATCATCAATAAATTAATTAAAACGCAAGTATAGTGCGAGAGATGAGGAGTAATGCTCCAGAGTATATTTCTCGTGATGTTATAATTCCGGAAATAAGTCATTGTTTTCAAAAACAAGTTTGGCGAGCCGAATCAACATTGGAGTCTCTTGAACCCTTGCCTCCTGAAGAAGTAATTCGAGAGCTACTTATGCTCTCTTGGTGTCCACGTTTCCACTCCGACAAGCGCGTGAAAAAGGTTTGGGTGCCACGGTTTTAAGCCAAAATCATCCTTTTAACGATTGTTAAAATGTGAACTGATGTAGAAACAAGCCGCGAAAATGATAGTAGAACCTGGCAAAACAAATGACTGTCATTTGTTATCTGGTGTCATCTACCACCAGACAACGAATGGATTGTTTACGAATTAACAGTTAGTTCATGCTTAAATGTAATCAGTTTTCAAATGAAATAAAACTGTTCCTAAGAACACATTCAATAACCTTCAAATCAAATCTGTAACATAGATTGAAATATTTTATACACACCGTTTCAAGAATGACAATACAGTGAAACCTGTATTAAGCGGACATCCTTAGGGCACTCACTAGTGTCCGCTTAGTACAGGGTGTCCGCTCTAAACAGGTTCTAATAAATTGTGCAATATTAGTTAATTATTAACCCTTTTGTAAGCTTTTACAAGTAAAAAGCCCTTGAGGTGTCCGCTTATTGCAGGTTTTGTAAAACGAAACGGCATCAGTAATATTGGTGTCCGCGTCTGCTTAACAGAGGTGTCCGCTGAATGCAGGTTTATTTTACAGTAAATGTGGGAAGAAAATTTAGGGACTCAACCTGGTGTCCACTAAATAGAGAGTGTCCGCTTAATGTGGGGTCCGTTTAATACAGGTTTCGCTGTGCTGCAATCCTGATACTTAGATAACTTAGAATTTTAAAACATTTATCCCTTTACCCCTTAGCAAAATACACCATTTATTAACTACTGAATTTCATTCAGCGATCAGCAATATCTCACAACTTTTCGTCCGGTGCGGTACAGGAACGTTATACATTCTACACCACAAGGCTTAAGACAAAGAAGCGTTTGAACTGGGCAAATACATTACAACTAATAAAACTACAGTGAACTGTGTCTGAGAACTTTATCTTTCTTTTACTTTCTCGGACACATTCAGGACAAGCGACACAGCTATGTAAAACCTAGGAGATGTCCGCTTTTAGAGGGCTCTAGTGCAATCTGTCGTAGACGGGACACTGCATGATGTGATAGTTAACAAATTGACGTCAGTTTTTCATGCGTCTGTCCTCTTACTGACAATGAATTTCGCCATAACATTGTCAAAGTAGCTGTGGATCCACGAGGCCATAGCCGAGTGGATCCGCAGACTACTTTGACAATGTTTTGACGAAATTCATTGTCAATAACAGAACACACGCATGAAAAACTGACATCAATAGCTGTTATTGCAGTTATCAGCGGCTTGACACACAAACGAGGCGAAAGGATCAATTCTGCACTGTATTGACCCTTTCACCTTGTTTGCATACCTATTAAAACAAAAGAATATTGGACCGCAGACTCAACTCCAACTTGTTTTTTACGATAACAAATTGTCAAATTGCCCGCTCTCGCTCGTTGACGCATCGCATAAATTATAAATTCATGTCTGTCCGCTTATTGACAATAAAAATTAGCCAATGAGCGCGCGAGAATTTCTGCAGTTATCGTAAAAAAAATGTTGGTGGATACATATATACATCTCTGGCTCTAAGAAAGAGATGACATGGCCAAATACCCACTAGCTAACTACCCACTAAAAACTACTTCTGCATAGATTCTTATTACAGTCCACAGATAGGTTTAAATCAAATTTGTTGTCGCAGGCATAATTTCTTCCCTTTAAAAGAACTATGTTATGGTAAAATTGAGTAATGTTTAGTACAAACTTAACTTCAAATATATGAAAGTTAAAAATAATAATTTGGTAAGGTAAAAAAAAAACACTCTCAAACTGAGAGAATGGCGAAGAGGTCTGGGCATAATTACGCTGTACTAAGATTGAAAAGCTTGAAAAATTTAGAGTAAGTCTTTCAAGACCCATTGAACGTAACATACTGTACATATCTAATCCAACCACTACAGGCTAAAGGCGACGAAATACGAGATACAAAACCCTCAACTTGCCGCGCAACATGAGCAAATTTGTTGCGTGACAAGTTGTGAGTTTGATGAAAAACGAGCAACAAAGCCAAAATTTGTTGCTCAAAGTAGACCCGTGCTCTACTTTTCGCAACAACTTTCTTCAACCCGCAACACATGTTTTTGTTGCGCGACAAGTTGATCACGCAAGGTGAAAAACGCGAAACATCGTCCCAATACTTGCAACGAAACAACGTTGCGCGACAAGCTGAGGTTTTTTGTATCTCGTATTTCGCCGCCTTAATACACAAGAGGCACTGTAATACATTGGGTTCTTTACAGAATCCGCTATATTCAGTTGGTCACAACCTATTGAGGAAACACTGAACACAATAAAAGAAATGTTCTTTCATAAATTCACTTGCAGAATAAAAAAAAAAAAAACTGTCTCTGCCAAGCTCAACTATCATAAACAAGGCCCAGGAAACACTACATGTCATTATGGCGCCATGGCCATGTGACAGTTCTAGTAAGAACTATTCTTGACTAGTTATGAATTGGAGCAAGTTACAAGTATTTTGAACATTATTGTTTCCGAGGAGATTTCCAACATTTCTAACGCTCCTCCAAATGTTAAAAAAGCCTCAGTCATTCCTGGAGCTAGTAAATTTATGTTGTTGTGTTTGCTGTCCCAGTCTCTTGAGATGTCCAATGTGAGAACCAAGTGCCTGGAAGAATGTATCCTTGTAGTTGTACCTCACACCAAACTCCTTGCACGTTTCACGTACAATGGGAGTTATTTCTGGATAGTAAATCTGACTCACGCCTGGGAACAAGTGGTGAGTAGTTTGATGGTTCAAAGCACCTGGGAAATGGAAAAAAAATCACTGTCAACAACAACTTAACTGTCCCCATCAAGATTTTAATCAATACCTCCTATTATCTAATAAAACTCGTCGATCATCTACATGTACATGTAGGTCTGCAATTTTCTCTTCTCGGTTTTTCGCAATGTTGTAAGACACGATCTCTTGTGTTTGATATAATACATAACCACACGTTCTTTAGGTAGTTGAAAGGGTCCTGATCTCTGGTACAAGTTTCTTTTGCATTTTGTATTGCATGCAGAACTGCATGCATGATTTTGAGAATGAAGAACTGGAAGAACATAAGCATCCTATGTAGAGTAAACTCTCGGACACTATTTTTAAAAACGAATCGAAGGCTACAAGAAAAATAGCAAATCCGAGAAAAAGACACCTCTACAGACAGCATAATGTGGTTATATCCGGAGCACGTAAACTACTAAAATGTTGCGAGTTTTTCATCAACATTATTGTACTTATCATTATCAGTAGTGCAGTTAACCAAAAACGCATCCATCACTGGAAGGTGATTCCTTTGAACTGTTAAATGTATGGTCTTGCTGTGATATACTTATTGAGCAAAGTCCAAGCTAAGTGTTTCATCACACGATGTATTCTCATGTGAAGCTTTTTTCACTGTCAGTCTCGAAATATCTTCCTAACCTGTGAAAACATTGAAAAACCAGCTGTCTGTGGCATAATCCTGAGTTGTTTGTATCTGGAGCTCTGCCCTGCAAGAAGATTTCAAGAATAATCATTATCACAAAATAAAATAAGAAAAGAGCGCAAGTTGCACGACAATATTGGCATGGATTGCATGCATTGCACATGAGTCACAACGCACTTCATAAGAGCACGTTTGACTGGCTGTTACTCTCATTTGTGCATTGGTATAAAGTCTCACAGGCACACAATTCATGTAAATGCTACGTAAAAAGGTACATGTACATGGAAAAGGTAAAGTCTGCATACGAGCCAAGTGACCCATCAGGCCGGAGTTTATCCCCTGATGAGATGCTAGTCCATTGCAGGTTACCGCAACATTAAATTTGCTGGTACCCATTTACACACCTGGGTGGAGGTAGGCACTGTGAGAGTAAAGCGTGCCTTGCCCAAGAGCACAACACAATGTCCCCGACCAGGGCTCGAACCCGGACCGCTTGACTCTGAAGTGAGCGCACTAACTGCAAGGCGACTGCTCTTCCACTATCTAAGGCTAGGCTGCATAATGTACCTAATACTATGTAACTACAATATTCACTCTTCCCCCTCTCCATCTTTTTTGTTACAGTGTATTTAATTCCCGCCCTCCTTTTTTGCAATGGTACCAAAAAGCGATATTGCAATGCTCAGTTATGTGCAACCAAGCTGATTTAAATTAAAAATTAAAAAAATTGCATTAAACATTGCACTTAATTACCAATCTTGTGTCATCTTTCCATCTTTCTCAGGATCCACCCAATCTACCTGCAAGATTTAAAGTAAAAAATAGGTAACCAAAGGTTACAAAAGGTTGTGTAAACTCTAAATATTACTTACATCAAGTTTAGTTAGGCTTTTGATCACTTCAAGGACTGGATGTTTGACATAGTATCTAGAATAAATCTGTTTTAAAAAATTCATTACGCTAACCTCACTCACAACATGAGATGCCTGGAAGGTCAAAGCCAGCCAGTAACTGGCAACAATGTCTGCAATAATAAAGAGCACAACCTAAAGGAATAAAAAAAAAATCTTGTTTAATTTAATGTTTCAGTGCTTTTAGTGAGACTCTACACTCCTCCAAGCTATGGCAGGTAGTCTGCCGTAACTCAATCACCAGCTATAATATTAGCAGTACTGTTGTAATGCAGGCCCCCTTATGGTTTTCTGATGGGTGCTATGCCAGGGCAGGACTTCACCTACATGAAATCCTATTGTAAGTGCTGTATTTTGAAATCAGCGCTCATGTGATATACAAAGGCAAAACTTACGGGTCAAATTCATTCATTTGTGAACTTCTTTGAAGCTACCATAAGTGCACATGTAAGTGGCTAAATGCTAAATAAATTAAAAAGTGCATTAGCTGGCATGAACATTTAACTCACCATTTTCCATACTGAGAGCAAAAGACATGGGAGAACTACTCTGTAAAATAAGAAGAACAGCTTGCCACCAAGAAACACAGTCAACTGTGACCTGGAAGGAGGATTTACACGAATAACACCTGAAAGAGAAAGACTGTGTTTTACTACTCGTAACATCTCCTGTTTCAAACTGAGATGCTGACGAAATATTTATTTGACCTACATGTACAAAACATTGTGCAAAATAATCTTAGAAATGGCTGGAAAATAAAGCGAGAGGGGAATATGCTTTAGTTTTCAGTGATAAGTTGTTGCCTAGCTCATGTTAGTTTTGATTTAATTGAAGAGATGGAAAAATCAGGGTACTTAAAGTATCTCTCATTTTGTCAAAGCAACATTTTACGCCTTTTGGCCCAAGAACACATGCAATCCTGGTGGATGCACAAATCTCCACAACACTTACTGTAAAGGTAAGACTTGTGCTCCTTGCTGTTGACTTAATATTGCATTTAAATAAATAATTGATATAAATAAAACATGATCAGGTTACTGGGAAACATGTACCGTTTAGTTACAACAGGTAGATACATATACAGTGAAACATCCAGGATGGTGTGTACACAGAACTAGCAGTTTATAATTATGCTCAGTAATAACTGAATGAAGTCAACTCACCATTTTTCTTTATAAGGAACATTATTGTTACATCCTGAATTCTAGTCTTCAGTCCAAGCTTTAGAAAATGAGAAACAAATGGAAACTATCAGAAAGAGGGAAGAAATAATTGCTTAAACAAGTAATTCAATGTTAGCATTGACATGTACATGTAATTCTTGAAAACCATTGAAGACCATCAGGTTTATCAATTTGGCCAATAATTACAAAGTCATTATTTGGTAATAATTATTAGGCAACTTGTCATACATGTAAATCAAGGCCAACAGACATAGTTAATTTTGGGAAATACCCATTACATCTTAAAGCACTTTTAATTTCTAGAGGTCAAAGGGACTGCATTAATTCCCGTAACTTACCAAACAGTAAACAAGGGGCACATAGACATGTTGATATAGATATCGAGGCACCCACTGTTGATTCCACTTTATCCGTCTTATATCCGGATGCTGACAAACAATTGATGCAGAAAGGAATGTCAATAAATTATTGTTTAGCGAATGAAACAGCCACAAGAAAACTCTGGATATAAAACTGATACAAGCAAATAACTGCAAAATTTAAGCATATCGAATAAAAATTATACATGTCTATAAAGTTCTTTTTTTTTTTAATTTCAGTTAATTTTTATTATTCTCAAACAATATGTATGTAATTATTACAACTGTTTGTAGGAAGAATATCACAAGTTGAAAGCAGCATTGATGAGTATAGTTTTAGCTTGTTTGTTTGTAAATAGGAAACAGTTTTACTAATTTATTTTCTATGTACTTACATCCTCAGTTGTGACGATATCAGGATCCAAGCCGTCAATGTTGGTGTACGGATGATGACCAAATGCATGCTAATGATACCAACATAATTAATGTTATGATTTAATTAACAAATCAAGAAGCCTACGCCGTGTATTACACTGTGTTAAAACACGACGGGCATTTGAGAACACGAGGGAAATGTAGAAAACATGAGCCAATAAAGTGATAAATCAATATAGATTTACACGTTCTTCGATACATGTAGCTTGACAAAACGCGACTTCTCGACTGTTTTTCTCCTTCTTCTTTATTTGTTAAGTTAACCTCCTCTTCAAAACTTTCTGTTGCTTTGCTGAGAACGCCATCACAAATTTCTTGTTTTTCGCTATCTCTAAAAAAAATGTTGACTAGAGGTAATGTCACGAAAAACAGTAAAACACACTTTTTCTATGTTTTATATTCTGATAAAACATTGGTTTTTGACCAATCAGAGCACGCGCAGGGTCCTATATATGTTATAAACTGTTTTAAAAAATTACATCAACATGGTTACGTGATCCTAGGGTCAGTTATAACTCCACTAAAACCTGAGCCTTGAAAACCAGAGGTAATGCATGTGCCTGCAGATTTTGTTTAAAACTGATTTGGTTTTTATTCAATTACGTCAAACGTCAAGTTTACAAGAAAAATTCCGAGATCTTGATGAAATTTTCCACTACAGTGTATAAACCAACAAAATGTCCACTCCAAATAACACACTAATCGTACCCCTAATTAAACTTCTTGTGAGTTAAAACAAATAAGACAACAGTAAAACAGCGTGGAAGAACATGTGACATTAGGAGGATATTAATACTAACATGCATTTTACAAAAATTCTCCTTTCTTGTGTGCAAATTGCCCCTTTAACCATTTCAAACAATATTCCTACTAATAACATATTATTTTATAATTATGGACAGAGACAATCTATATGCTACCCATTTTCTTAGAAGTCATTCTGATAATGAGTCTGGATAATACAATGAAAAAGTTAGACTGTCACATAAAGCTGACTGAAAATGGAAACCTGCTATTGATGTACAGTGTATGCAGCCATATGCAGTGTACGGGAACTCTTAAATGAACCAAACTAAAAACAAATTGAGCCTTAGTGACAAATTAACACTAACCTGATAAATCCAGATATAGAATGATGCACCATTTAAGAAGTCATGTATATGACCAACTACTCTCCACAATATAGGATGACTGGTCACAGCACAGTGGCTTAAAGTTCAAAACAACAGAAAATATTACTACAATCATATAAACTGAACAGGCCTTTGTCCACCAAAAGAGGTTAGAAGTGTCTTATGTAATTTGAAGGGTGGTGAATGGTTAATCCATGACTTGTGAAGGCAGTGCCTCACCAAGCTAGATTGAGACTTTCTCAGCTTTGCAAAAAAAAATAATTGAGACTCAAAGATAGCAATCCAAAAGTCTCAGCTAGCCAGACTTTGAAATTTGACAACAATTCTGTGAGATGCATATGCTAAAGGACCATTTGCCACTGCTGCATGTGTAATTTGCTCTCTCAAGCCAGTGCTTGCCTTTTTTCTTCAAATGCATAGTTTCATTACCTTTTCTGTAGCTAGTCTGGTGCAATGCAAATTTTTTTTTGCTAAGTTCATATAAGTTATTTGAGACTTGCTGCACTCCTAATCTAAATAGTTACATCACAAAATTAATGGGTTTACAACAACTTAAACTTCCTATCACTATATTAATAAAGTTTAGAATTCATGCGTCAGGAAAAATGTCTTGAGATTTATCAGCCGAGGTCTTTCTGGTAGGTACACCCAAGGGGGAGACTTAAATTACCATGACGACATAATCCTTACCTGGAATCATGATTGTTTACCAGTCCAATCATAGCACACATCCATCCCATAAAAGCCGCAGCAATGCAAGACAAAAAGAAATTATCGGCCAACCAGAACATCTGCAGAGAACAATTCAGAGAACAACATCAAATACTAAATTGTACTTCAGTATAGTGTTAAGCATTGATAGCAATGGTTATGTCAGAATTACAAAATTACAAATGATTGGTTCAACAAACAACCCTTTGTGTGTATTGCAGGCCTATCGTATTACAGTGGAACCCCTCCTTACAGTCACCTCTTTGATACTGTCACCTCATTATTATGCAGGGCAGTCATTAAGGGCTGTAACCTGTAACACCTGTTATGGCTGAGTATGCTTGATTTTCCCTTGACGCTACAGGTGAAACTGCCCATTGTTGAAAGAATTTACCCACAAAGTAACAAATTTGCTATGGGTGTGGAGAACAAGGGT